CTTTGACTACGACTTGTTTTCGATGGCCACCAGCCGATGCCCACACATTGCATTCCTTATTTCGATGGGTATGGGTATTGTGTCGTCCGGCGTGATCGATTTCCTTCACACAGAAACTCAAACAATCTGGGCATTGATCACCACAGCGATGCTTTTCCTTCAAGCCACAAGCATGCTTGACCGTTGGCGGATGATCACGTTGATAACGTGGCAAACGATTGATACATGGTTTACGTTCTTTCTTCGGTCGATAAAATATATATTCAAATCGGTTTTGATGATTTTCCCAAACACGCGTTTCCTTGTTCTCATAATCGACTAAGCATACGCCTTTCTGTTCACAATCATGACCACATGGATGTTCATCGCCACAAATGTGATAGTCAATCTGCTTTCCCTCGTACTGTAACATCTCCATATTGCCCGTCTCAATGAGATGTTGGTGAAAATGATTGGGAAATTGGCATAGTTTTGAACAATCGGGCATTGAACATGGTTGCAAACAAAATTTTTCACCACAATCATGTCGGTAATGCTTTTTGCGTGCGTCAGAAGCACAAGTCTTTCCTTCGCAACTTGCGCATTTATATGGACAATAGTGAAGATTTCCACAATCGTGAATGTGTTCTCGACTCGCATCCGAATCATGATCGATAGGAAGACCACAAGTCGATTTGCATTCTGGCAAAATCGTGCAAGGTTTGCCACAGACATGACCTGTATCACACCGATGTTGTTCCTCGTGACCAAATTTGAGACAGCACGGAATGGGAGATTGACCAGACGGACAAAGTAAACACGTATCAGGACACGAATGATCGGTGCCACAAGCACAATCATCTTTGTGATCATATTCTTTGCTACACAGACGAGTGCATTCACGACATGAACGAAGACACAGACGTGCACATTGTTGTAAAACATCGAGTTTGTCTTTGAGACTAAGTTCAAAATTTTTTATTTCAGCACTGAATGTTGGGTCGGATGTTGGTAATTGACTGTGAACATAGTTCATGAGAATTTCAACACGATGAACGAGCGTTGCTTTGAGTGCATCATTAACATTGGTAAAAAACGTATTGTGATTACGCGCATCGTACTTTTCTGATGCCTTCTCGCTAATTTCATCGCGGAAAAGAAAAGCCGCTGAACTGATTGATTCTTTTACATAATCAGAAAAGTCCAACGATTCTTGTTTGAATATCACCGTTTCTTCTTTGCTTGGATCACTCAAAATCTTGATCGTCACACTGCATGGTTCACACGTCTCAAACAATTTTCCACCTTCAATATGGGCTTTCTTTACATCGCGTTCAAGTCGAGCAAATGCCAAGCGTAATCGATGAATATCCATGAGTGTATCATCGTCTGTATGAACTTGAGCAAGAATCAATTTGAAACTTTCAAGAAATATCTTTCCATCCATCCATCGTCCAGGCAATTCGAGTAACATCTTGCGTAGAGCTTCAATTTCCGATTCAAAAACATTATTTTCAAAGTGATGCAAAGCAAAACTTCGCGTTTCACCACCGAACAATTTTATCATATAGCCGGATGTATTCATTGCAGCTTGTTGTTTAATATTGTCGGGCAATTCAGGATGTGCAGGAACACGACGTTGCGGTGCAA